TGTTTGCAGGTTTCTCTACTGTGAAATTATTTTCTCCTTTTTTTTTTTTTTTTTTTTAAGACAGGGTCTCATTCTGTCCTCCAGTGCAAAGGCACAAACACAGCTCACTACAGCCTTGACCTCTCGCACTCCATCGATCCTCCCACCTCAGCCTCCAAAGTAGCTGGGACTACAGGGACACACCACCACACCTGGCTAATATTGTTTATTATTATTATTATTTTTTTTAGTAATGAGGAGGTCTCACTATGTTGCCCAGGCTGGTATTGAACTCCTAGACTCAAGTGATTCACCAGCCTTGGCCTCCCAAAGTGTTGGGATTACAGGCATGAACCACCGCACCCAGCCAGCCCCCTTTCTGTACTGTATTCTTTGGAAGCAAATCACTAAATGCAGCCTACACTCTGGAAAGGGGTCGGGGAGTAGCTACATGAGGATGTTTGGAATTCTGTGAGGAAGACTCGTTTCTTCTCAGATGAAGTTTTTTTTTTCCTGGGAGCAAGCAAGCTGAATGATCACATTTATTTATGCAGTTGTTTATATCGGTGTGGACTCATGGATGTTTATTTTATAATCTGGGCTTAATCTCATACAACATTGTTTACTTTGTTGCTTGAATTGTTCCAGGTTTGGCCACCGAGAGCTCCTTCCAGAAGGTTCGTGTGTCCCTGTGACATACCACCATCCTTGTTTTTGAGCACTTCCTTCCTTTCTGCCATCATAAGATGCTCCAGGATCATCTACTGGTCCTGCCCTAACCCTAGAGGCAGTCATCTCTCTAAGGGGCCAGGTTCCTTTCACTGGAGAACAGTATTAAAATTCAAGAGCGGCTGGATGGAGTGACTCACACCTGTAATCCTGGCTCTTTGGGAGGCTCAGGCAAGCTGATTGCTTGAGACCAGCCTGAGCAACATGGCAAAACCCTGTTTCTACAAAGAAATGCAAAAATTTAGCTGGGTGTGGTGGTGTGTGCCTGTAGTCCCAGCTACTCAGGGAGGCTAAGATGGGATGATTGCTTGAACCCTGGAGGTCGAGGCTGCAGTGAGCCATGTTTGTGCCTCTGCACTCCAGCCTGGATGACAGAGTGAGACCCTGTTTCAAAAAATAAATAAATTAGGCCAGGCTCAGTGGCTCATGCCTGTAATCCCAGCACTTTGGGAGACCAAGGCGGGCAGATCACAAGGTCAAGAGATCGAGACCATCCTGGCCAACATGGTGAAACCCTGTCTCTACTAAAAATACAAAAAATTAGCTGGGCCTGGTGGCAGGTGCCTGTAATCCCAGCTACTCAGGAGGCTGAGGCAGGAGAATCGCTTGAACTTGGGAAGTGGAGGTTGCAATGAGCCGAGATTGTGCCACTGAACTCCAGCCTGGGCAACAGAGCGAGACTCTGTCTCAAAAAATTAGTTAATTAGTTAATTATTAATAAAAAGGAAAGAAACCAAGAGCTAGGGGCTAGATGTATTCATTGCCACTGAGTATCCCTTCTTCCAGGCCCTCTCGGCTGACAGAGCTAGAAAACATGTGTCCCTGTTTACCCATGTACACACACATATCCCTCCATATGTTTCGTATTTGTAGCTATTATGTATAAAAATGGAAGTTTTCTTTTTATTATTATTTTTTTATTTTTAAAGACAGGGTTTCACCATGTTGGTCAGGCTGGTCTTGAACTCCCAACCTCAGGTGATCCACCCACCTTGGTCTCCAAAGTGCTTGGATTACAGGCGTGAGCCACCACGCCCGGCCAAAAATGGAAGTTTTATATGTATAAATTTTGTCTCCCCAAATTTAACAAGTTGTCTTGTTTTTCTCTTTGTATCATCTTACTGCATCCCACAACTTCGGACTGCATCCCACAAGTCGGGACAATTAATATTCCCTTCACAGAGAAGGAAGCTGAGAAGCAGAGGGTGGTTTTTTTGTTGTTTTTTTTGTTTCTTTTTTGATATAGGGTCTTTTCTTCTTTTTGAGACAGGGTCTTGCTCTGTGGCCCAGGCTGGTATACACTGGTGTGATCATGGCTCACTGCAGGCTTGACCTCCAGGGCTCAAGTGATCCTCCCACCTCAGCCTCCCAAGTAGCTGAGACCACAGGTGTGCACCACCACACGCAGCTAATTATTAATTTTTTTTTTTTTTTGAGATGGATTCTCACTTTGTTACCCAGGCTGGAGTGCAGTGGCATGATCTCAGCTCACTGCAACCTCTGCCTCCTCCTGGGTTCAAGTGATTCTCCTGCCTCAGCCTCTGGAGTAGCTGAGACTACATGCCCCCGCCACCATACCCGGCTAAGTTTTGTATATTTTTTGTATTTTTAATAGAGACGGGGTTTCGCCATGTTGGCCAGGCTGGTCTCGAATGCCTGCCCTTGTGATTCGCCCACCTCGGCCTCCCAAAATACCGGGATTACAGGTGTGAGCCACTGTACCTGGCCAATTTTTTAAATTTTTTATAGAAACGAGGCCTCACTATGTTGCCCAGGCTGGTCTGGAACTCCTGGGTTCAAGCGATCCTCCCACCTTGGCCCCCCAAGGTGCTGGGATTACAGGCGTGAGCCACTGCACCCAGCCCAAGGTGCAGAGAATGTAAGTAACTTGCACAGCTGACACAGCCCTGGAAGGAAGTTTCGAACCCAAGAGAAGAAACCTTCAGATGCTTGGAAGCCCAGCCCCGCCCGGCCTCCTCGTGTCCTGATGGCTGTAAGACCAGCCTTCAAGAGGCTGCCTGGCTGCGATCAGTGGGAGTCACCATGAGGATGTCCAAGGACCCACTACACCCCAAGTATGTGAGCTGTGACCCCCATTCATGGCTGCAGGAGGTGAGTTACTGCTGGTGTGGAGCCATGATTCCTGGCCAGGACAGACCATACTTAGTGGTCACTGGCATGGCCCAGCAGAGGAGTCCACAACAAACACCCCCGCGAGCTGGATACAGTCTGTGGTGCCTGACTCCAGGGATGGGCCGGAATCAGGCCTAGTTGGGAAGAAGCCATATACGGGTGAAGGCTAGGTGGCTGGTGTTAGGAGGCTGTGGACAATGAACTGGGGGAAGCAGAATTCCCCACCCAGTGCCTGCCCCTGCCCAGCCCTCCCCACCATCTGTTTAAGCCCCTCACCTCTCACCAGGCTGGTGCCTCCCTAGACCACCTCATCTCCCTAGGCCTGAACCAGCCCAGGGCTCCTGTCTTCACCTGTCCCTGCCTACCTGCATGTCTGTCTCTTTCTCCCTGCCACAGAGGGCAAGCAAGGACCACCTTGGCCACAGTGCCCAGTGCCAGTCCCATCTGCTAAAGGAGCAGATGCATGCTTGGCGGGTGGTCTCTGGAGCACTGGATGGGGGCATGTGAGGAGCGCCCGGGAAGCCCCTGGGGAATAGGGATTAGAGGGGGGTAACAGGCAGGAGCCCCACAGCCTTTCCTTGGGAAGGAGTGAGGGGAATGATGAGAGAGAACCCTGAAATCCACATCCCAGGCAGACTGGCAGACCGAGCCTGCCAGTCTTTGGGAAGCCTCGCACAGGGCTGCCCACTCCCATCGGGGCTCAATTCAACCCGTGTGGATTAGGGGTCTCCAAGAGGCTTCCCCAAGTCCATCCCCACAGGGGGCTTCAGTGGGGAGCTTCAGCTGAGCACTTCCTTAGAGCCCTTTGGGTCCAGATGAAGCTAGGCTTCTCTATATCCGATACCTGTGCTGCCATTTCCTGCTGGGCAACTGTGGCCCAATCATGGCGTCCCTGGGAGCCTCTGAGCGTGAGGCTGTGGTTCAGGCTTAGCACATCGCAGGCCCTTGATAAATGGGCACTGCTGCTAGGAATGCTGCTATGAGAGTTTCCTAGGGAAAGTGACATGCTTGTGGGGTTTGCAGGGCTTGGTGGGAGCCTCAGGACGTTCCCAGTCAACGGTGCCCCTTCTCCTTGCCATCCAAAAATACACATGGGTACCAGAGACGCCTCACACGCAGCTCTGTCTGCAGTGTCAGAAAGAGAAGCAAGGAAGGCTTTCCAGACGAAGAACACCAAGGGGTGGGCGGGAGTGCGCCTAGCATTGAGAAGACCTTAAAAAAGACCGTCCTGGGCCAGGTGCGGTGGCTTACGCCTGAAACCCCAGCATTTTGAGTGGCCAAGGCGGGTGGATCACCTGAGGTCAGGAGTTCAAGACCAGCATGACCAATATAGTGAAACTCTACTAAAAATACAAAAATTAGCTGGGCATGGTGGCATGCACCTGTAGTCCCAGCTACTTGGGAGGCTGAGACAGGAGAATTGCTTGAATCCTGGAGGTGGGGGTTGCAGTGAGCCAAGATCGTGCAGTTGCACTCCAGCCTGGTGACAGAGCAAGACTCCGTCTCAAAACAAAAAACAAAAAAACAACCTGGGCCGGTCATAGTGGCCGTGCCTGTAATCCCAGCACTCTGGGAGGTCAAGACCAGTGGATCATGAGGTCAGGAGTTCGAGACCAGCCTGGCCAACATGGCAAAACTTTGTCTCTACTAAAAATACAAAAATTAGCTGGGCATGGTGGTGGGTGCCTGTAATCCCAGCTACATGGGAGGCTGAGGCAGGAGAATCATATGAACCTGGGAGGCGGAAGTTTGTCTTGAGCCGAGATGGCACCATTGCACTCCAGCCTGGGCAACAGAGGGAAACTCCGTCTCAAAAACAAAAACAAAACATCCTGCTGTCCGCTACACACACTACTGAGTTACTGAATGCCTTGTTATTTATTCCTTGTCTTATTCCCCAGAGGAATTGAAGCAGCTCACAAAACCCAGAAGCCTGAAAAGTTTGGCCAGACATGGTGGCTCACGCCTGCGATCCCAGTACTTTGGGAGGCTGAGGATGGAGAATCACTTAAGCCAGGAGTTTAAGACCAGCCTGGGCAACATGGTGAGATTACACCTCTGCAAAAAATAAAAATAAACAAATTATCTGGATGTCATAGTGTGCACCTGCAGTCCCAGCTACTTGAGAAGCTGAAGCAAAAAGGATCACTTGACCCCAGGAGGTTGAGGAGGCAGTGAGCTATGATTGCACCACTGCACTCCAGCCTGAGTGACAGAGCAAGACCCTATCTCAAACAACAAAACCCAGAAGACTGAAAAGTTACAACATGAAAGGGGACATCAAGTGAAGGGAAATATCATGGTAGGAAAGAAAGATGAAGCCAGCAGTCTCCACTCACTGAGCTAAAAGACCTGGAATACTGGGCAGAGGTGGTTCTGAGCTCCCTGATGGCTGAGGAGAGGAGTGAAAGTGGACCCCAGTCCCTGATCCAGCATGGAAGGATGAAAGCACAGCCATTGTCTTGGAGGCACTTTCTGGTTGTCGTGATGGATGGGCTCCCTGGAGGGTGTGCCTCCTCCCCTTTCAGGATTTAGCTCTTCTACTTCCGCTGAGCTGGGGTGGGTACATTGTGCATTGACAGTTCCTAGATCCCATGTGTTCTAGAACCCTCTCTCCTAAGGAAGAACGTTTTTTTTTTTGTTTGTTTGTTTGTTTTTTTTTTCTGTTTTCTGTTTTTAAAATCCATCTCAGCCTCCTGACAAGCAATAAGATTTGGAATATTTGTTGAGATGAATAAATGAACTCTTTAGTCAGTGCAGAGATATCTGTACATTCTGGCCATTTCTTGAGCACTGTCATGTGCAGGTCAGAGACCTGGGAGCCCCCACACAGCGGGAGGAGAGCAGAGGCAGAGGATGGGGGACTGGGCTAACCCAGGCTTTCCAAGCTGTGATGGGGCAGGAGCTTCTCCACTAGCTCCAGCGAAGGGGAACTTGGGCTTTGGGAATCTGTTTTGCAGGTTGCACCCCTTCGAGGGGAGCTACTACGGGTTGCAGCTCATGCAGAAAACATGGCCTTAGTGATGGAGGTGCTCCAGCCCTGCTGGGACAGGGGTCTGGGGCTAAGCGGCTGTGACTCGGTGTGCTCTCCGCACCCTGTCTCCACTTGTGCTCGAGGACGGCCGTTTGAATATTGTCTAGTGTGGGCCATTTACCCCATGGGCAGGAGGAAGGTAGGAGGGACCTCAGAGGAGACTTCAAGGGCCCTTCACTGCCCTTCTAACCTTGCGGATTCCCCTCTCGGGCCTGTTTCTTCTCTCAGCCGGGGATGCCAGGCCGAGGCCGTAGGTTCGAGAATCACGTAGGTAATAGCTTAGTAAAGGACCTGGCACATAGTAGGCTCTCAAAAAAAGGTCAGAGCCTCTTGAGGTGTCTGCCTGTGATGGATGCGGAGCCCAAACCCAGCGCAGTGCGGCGATTTGCCCAAGGTCACACAGCCGCCCCCCCCCATTCGGACCCCGAGCAGCCTGTCTCCGGGGGCCGGGGTTTGTCGGGAGCCAGCGTGGGGTGAGCAGTGTTTGGAGGAGCGGCTGCGGCCGTGGGTAGGAAGGGGCTTCTATTTTGGAGCGGGTGAGAGGAGCGGGACAAGCGGAGGGGTAAGGAACGGGTGGACCCTCTCCGGGATCTCTGTCCCCCAGTCACCTTCTTGGTAGGGGCGTCCCGGGCGGTGGGGGAAGGTGGGAGGGGCGGGCGGTTACCTCATCGCCGCCTCCGGAGGCCCCGTTCGCTCGCGCCGCCGGCTGGGGCGGCGGCTCCGGGCGCGGAAGCGAGAGAAGGACAGAGACACAGAGGCTCCGGGAGGCAGCGCTGCACCCCGCGCCCCGCACAGCTGCAGGACCTGCGCCGCGAGCGAGGCGGACCTCGGGGCCCGCGCGGCCGCCGGCGCCTGGGTTGGCGCTGCGGGGCGGAGTCGGTGTCTGAGCGCCGCGCGGGGTCTGCCCTCTCCCGAGCTTCGGCACCCGCCGGAGCAGCTCGCGCGCCCGCCACCTGTCTGCCCACTCCGCTGTCTGTCCGCCCTCCCTCCGCCAGCCCCGGCCTCGGGCCTGCCCACTCCGGTCTCGGTGCTCCGCGGGGCGACGAGAAGCGCGGCGGGGCCAGGGCGCACTGGGCAGGGCGCGCGGGGCGCACGGCCGGGGGGCACTCGGCGCAGCGCCGGCCCATGAAGCTTTCCGGCGCAGGTAGCGGCAGCGCCGGCCGGCCATGGGGGGCAGCCTGCGGGTGGCGGTTCTAGGTGCCCCGGGCGTGGGCAAGACGGCCATCATCCGCCAGTTCCTGTTCGGTGACTATCCCGAGCGCCACCGGCCCACGGACGGGCCGCGCCTCTACCGACCCGCGGTGCTGCTCGACGGCGCCGTCTACGACTTGAGCATCCGCGACGGCGATGTCGCTGACCCCGGCTCGAGCCCCGGGGGTTCGGAGGTAGCGGCTCGAGGAGCGGGCAAGGGTGTGTGACAGTGTGAGGGGTGTGCGTGCTCGGTGCACACGTGCGTGTCCGCGTGGAGGCCTCGGGCGCCTGGCCGTGGTCCGGGATGGAGGGATGCGTGTGCGTCCTGGGATACTTGGGTTTTAGCCCTTCCCACCGACCTGGAGACGCCCAAGCCCAGGCTGGAGGCCGGGCGATTTTGCGCAGGGGCGTTCCCTTGCTCCTGTGAGCGCCTCCACCTTTGCCTGCCTCTTCTGGGGGTGTGGAGCAGCTCGTGGTGGTGCATGGCGGTGCCTCCCTGAGAGTGTGGTGTTTTGAGTCTGGGGCCTTGAGCAGAGCTACATACAGTTGGGGAGAGACAGGCCAGGAGCAGGGGTGTTTCTACGAGGGCTGGGGGGTCATTCTCTGCCCCCTCATTCCTGTGCCCTGGAGGGAAGACTCGTTTAGTAATTTGTGCATGGTCGGGGACAGACCTCCGACCCCAGAGAGGCGAAGAGGAAAGAGCAGGCAGGATTAAGCAAGGCTTCCTGGAGGGCGTGGCATTTGAGCTGAACCTGGAAGACCGAGTGAAGTTCTGAGAACAGGAAATGGCAAAAGCATTCCAGGTGGGAAGACCAGCAGGTGCTTCCGCCAGGGGCATAAGCGGTTACAGCTGACAGTCTGGGGGCGTGGTGGACCACGAGGCTCAGGCCGAGGGCTTTGGAATTAAGTCTTAGAGGCAGTGGCAAGCACTGAGAGCGTCTGGGGAGGATAGTGGTCTGAGCCGAGTTAGGGAAAGCTGAAAAGAGGAAGATTCGGGGTGAGCAGAGGGGACACCAAGGGTGAAAGAGGGTGGCTGACAGGCTCCAGGCACGATTTGGAAAATTTTATCCTGGTGGTCATGAGGAGACCGGGCCCGGGAAGCTTGGGGGAGGGGCACAGAGGTCTGGATGGGGGTGATGTTGGCCTAAGGATGAACTGTAGTTTTGGCGTCCAAGGCCCCTGCAGAGGATTCGAGAGCAGGAGGGTGAAAAGGAGGCTCCCGCAAACCCTGGCCTCCCGTCCCCAGGAGTGGCCAGACCCTAAGGACTGGAGCTTGCAGGACACGGACGCCTTCGTGCTCGTCTACGACATCTGCAGCCCGGACAGTTTCGACTACGTGAAGGCCCTGCGGCAGCGCATCGCGGAGACCAGGTGGGGCCGCGGCAGGGCTGGCGGTGGGGAGCTAGGGCAGGTCTAGCTGGGCCTTTGCCCGAAGGGAGTGTGTAGGGCCTCCCGACGTCGTGGGCCAGGTCTTAGGCCTTCGCCAGTGGAAAGGAGCTGTATGTGCTCTTTGGCCCACACGGGCTTGGCGTTCTTTGGGGGAGGTCTCTGGGCGTAGGAATGGAGTGCGCCTATGTGTGTATACCCACTGGGGGAATTCTTCGGCGGTGGGGTCTCTGGCACCGCGTCTCTCATCTCCATTCGGCCCTCAGGCCGGCGGGCGCGCCCGAAGCGCCCATCCTCGTGGTAGGCAACAAGCGGGACCGGCAGCGGCTGCGCTTCGGACCGCGGCGCGCGCTGGCCGCCCTGGTGCGCAGGGGCTGGCGCTGCGGCTACCTCGAGTGCTCGGCCAAGTACAACTGGCACGTGCTGCGTCTCTTCCGCGAGCTGCTGCGCTGCGCTCTGGTGCGCGCGCGCCCTGCACACCCGGCTCTGCGCCTGCAGGGGGCGCTGCATCCGGCACGCTGCAGCCTCATGTGACCTGATTGGACCATGCCATCCATGGGCCCCACCTTGTGACTGGGCACAATCAGGGAGCTGGATTGGACAGGATAGCCAACTTCACTCGGACAGGCAATCTCCGCCCTGATTGGATGAGGAAAGCTCCGATCCAGTCTCCTAAGCGACCGGCCCCTTTTTGAACCTCATTGGACCCAACCAGGTCCCAGGCTCCTTTGGAGATGATCAGTCCTTTCTGGGGTCACAATCCCATTAGATGGAAAGGACTTGGCTATGAATTTGACTGGAAACACGCAGCCTGCTCCTAGAGCTTCACTGGACGTATTATTTATGCCACACCTATGGTGGGATAATAAAAGGGAAAATAATTCGAGTGCACCTGGGATTTCTGGGCCGGGCAGGAGAAAGCCTTAAGCACAGAGGTCAGAGCTGCCAGGCTTGGCCTCCAGGCAGTTAACTCCAGGGTCCTTAAAAGGGTCTGAATGGCCCCAAGGCGGCGTCCTCAAAAAGCAGACAGGTGGCTGGAGCAAAACTTTACTGTCAGAGGCTCTGCTGGGCCACAGGTCTTCAGGACACCGGGCTGGCCCGGCCTCCTCTAAGGCATTCAATAATATTAGTAATTAAATAGCAATGCTCATCCCCCAACCGGAATGTACAACAGAGGTCCCATTGTGCCATGTGGTCCCAAGGGGTCTGGTCCCATGAGGTCTGGTACTCGAGTGCCAGGGGCTCCCTGATGCAGAGGGGTTAAGGCCACAAAGGAAAAGAAGGGATGGGGTCTGGGGACAGCTGAACTGGTCCATCACATCCAGGAATCTGGCTCAGCCCCTGGGGCGACGGAGTGCAGGGCATGCCAGGTCCCAAGCTCCGCGGGTCCAGAGGGGCGGCGGGGGCCCCGAGGCGTGGGGATGCGTGAGGGTTTACGGTCTGGCTGTGTGTCCATCCGACCCCGTGCCCAGGTCCTCAAGGGCTCAGGGCCAGCCAGGGGGCTCCCAGGTGCATCTAGTGCCCCCCCCATGCCAGGGCAGGGGCTGCCTTCATCGGAGGAGCTGGAAAGGGCTTGGCTTCTGGGCCCGGGCAGCCCATTGGCCGTCCGGCCAGAGTCCCCAGGTTGGCCACATTTGCCACCCAGGACACTGAGGGATGAAGAGGAGGAGCTGGAGGAACAGTAGGCAGAGTCAGGAGCTGGAGGGTCGGGGGCCCGAGCTGGGTCAGGGGCTAGTCCAGTGGGGGTCACGCTAGCAACAGCCTCAAGGGCCCGGGCATTGGCCAGAAACTCCTCTTCCAGGCGCCGGAACAGCTGCTGCTCCTGCTGTGGGTCGAGCTGCAGGGGTGTGCGGAAGATGCTGGCCGGTGTGGTGCCCAACTCTGGACTGGGGCTTGAGACCCGGGAAAGCCGGGATGCTGCAGGGCTGCGAGCACGGGGAGTCTGGGGTGTGCTCCTGCCGGAGCCCCCACTGCCCTTGCCCCTTGGGACCCATGAGTGCTGCCCGTCTCGATCCCTGCGCACCAGCAGCACTGCCTGCTCCTCACGGCTCTGGCTCCGGGCCCGCCGGGCAGGGCTGGGGGCCAACAGTTGAGCTCCCCTGCCTCCTGGGGCCCCCCGGGGCCGACCCTGATCCAGCCGGTCTCGGGACTGGCTGCGCAGGGCAGGAGGCCTTCTCGGAGAGGCCGAGGTGCCTGTGGTCAGCCGCCGGCTGGGTCGCTCCCTCCGGGGGCCAGTGCCTGTGTCGTCACTGCGGGAACCAAGGGGACCGCTCTGGGCGGAGGAGGCTGAGGAGTCACTGTCCCCGGAGTAGCGGCGGGTGCGGGGATGGGGGGGCAGCTGATCCTGGGGCCTGGGGCAGGGGGACAAGAGAGAGAGATGGGGTACCACAGAAAGACTGGCATTCAGAATGGGCAGAGAGAGGAACAGCAGGGTATGTGGCAGGTGGACAGGGCTGTCAGGGGCATCAGTCTGTCCTGGGGACTTCCAGGGAGAAGTGAGCAGCTTCCTCCAGCCACCCAGGGCCCCAAAAGCCACGGAAGAAGAAGTTTCCTGGGCTCTAGACACCCCCCTTCCCAGGAGGGGCCAGAGGAAGCAGGGGTTGGACTGGCGGCCGCCCAGCCACAGGGCCTGCCCAGCTGTGTTGTTGGTTTGGTTGGGTTGCCATGGAGATGGGAAGCCAGGTCCGCCCCCACCCACGGGAACTTTTCCCAGGGTGTGAGTCACTCTGGCGCATAGGCAACCCTTCATGCAGACCCGGGCTGACGCCCTCCTACCCGTTCGACCCCTCACCCTTCGTCCTCCTGCATCTCACCTGGGTGGGGTCTCGGGCCCCTCCTTTGTGTTTCGTAAGCTAGTGGGAGTCATCTCAGGCCGGGAACCCCGGCGCTCACTTCCAGGGACGGGGCTAGCAGGGCGGGGACTGGGGGTGGGTGACACCCTCTGCGGAGAAAAGGTGCAGACCCTTGGCTGGGGTGGACGGTGAGCTGTAGGGACAAACGACAGGCAGCATGTGAGGGACAGACCCACAGAGGGAAGCCCCTGCCCGCCCACGCCCAGCCCTGCCCCAGCACTGACCAGTGGAGGAGCAGCGGCATGGGTCGTGCTTGTCCAGGTAATGCTCCAGTGTGTCCCAGCCGCCACCCACTCGAACCATCACGTGGCTCCTCAGCACCTGCAGGCATGGGCAGGTCATGGCTGTGTCCTGGGGGCCCAGCAGCCCACCCCCTTAGCTGCTGCCCGCTGGGGTGGCCACAGGCCCTTACCCGCACAAAGATGAGCAGGCTGGAGTCCCCCACGCGGTACTTCCCCTCCGAGACCTTGATCATGGGGAACTGGTCTGGGCAGGTGCAGCGGCCCAGAATCTCCCTCACCTGAGGCCAGAGAGAGAGGGTAGGGGTCAGAGGTCAAGTCCTTCTCCTGGGGCTTAATGTCAGACGTTCCAGGGTCAGGAGGAAGTCAGGCCTTCCGGGGAAGTGGGGATGGAGAATGTGTTGCCTCGGATGGGGGTACAGCTTCCACATGTGACCCGTTCCCCCTTCTTGGTTCTCTGGGCCCAGGGAGCTGCCCAGGATGAGATGAGGGGGCTATGGTCAGGCCAGGGTCTGAGACCTGGTGAGGAACATGCCACTGGCCTGGGGGAGCCCCAGAGCCTATCCTCACTTCCCTTCACCCACTTTCCAGACAAGAAGGCTGGGGCCCACAGGGAGGCCAGGCAGGCTACGGGACACAGATGCAGGGGGCCCCACTCCCCTGGGTGGGCACTGATGTGGAGGGGTACCACAGACACGTGGGACACACAGGCCACTGGCTGGGCAAGCACGCACCACATATGGTCCCCCAGAGCCAGAGCTGCCAGGCTGGCTGTGTGGGCGCCCAGCCCGCCTCCCTGCCCGCCTCCCTGCCCACAGCAGCAGCAGCGCCCGCCGCCAGAGGAAATAAGCAGGTGGGGCCTTGAGTGACCCTGGCCCGGGACAGGGGGTGGGGCCCTAGGCTCTGCCCACGGCCATCCGCTTTCTGTCTCCCAGGCAGGCACATCATAGTCCTGACTTTCTGATAAGAAGGAAACTCCTGGTCCAGCTCCGGGGGTGGCAGGGGCCGCCCAGATCCTGGGAGACGAGAGAGTTGGGGGCAGGGCCTGGCACCTTCTATGCTTAGAATGAATCCTGAAGCTCCCAACAGGACCCTCACTCCCAGCAACAGAAGCAACTCGGCTAGGCTTCCTAGGGGTGCCTGGGGAATGGGGAGACCTGCAGAGCCCCCAGGGGCACCTACTGTGTGCCAGGCACCTTGCCTAGGGCTTTCCGCACCTCATCTCAACTGAGCATCACAGTGCCCACTCAACCTCAAGCCTCTGTGAGGTTGTGGGCACATCTGCCTGAGTGCAGGGAGGGCACCAAGGAGGTGCCCCAATCATGCAGCCCCCCGGAAGGAACGCACGAGCTCAGTTGGGGTACAGCACACAAAGCGGGCGAAGATCGTGCCGGGAGCCCAGATCCTGTCCCAAGCTTGGCTGGGCTGCATGATCGCCCCAGCACCTCCCTCTGTGGGCTACCCGTTCATTTCCTTGGGGTCAGGTCTACGTTCCTTGGTTTGGTGCTCAACATGGGCACTCTTTGTGGGGCAGGCTGTTCTGGGTGGACCCTGGGAGGTTCAGGGACAGATCGCAGGCCCTGGCGGTGCTGTCAGGTCCCTGATACCTGGTGCTGGGGAACTCACCAGCTCATCGAGGTTGCGCAGGTCGCTGGGCGTCATTCGGGGGCCGCGGGCAGGAGTCCCGGGTGCAGGGGCGGTTTCAGTGGTGTTCTCCCCAGCAGCAGGGGCACTGGGGGCTGGGGGTGCAGCACGAAGCTCTCGCTCAATCTCCTGCTCAAACTGCACGAGGCGTGGGGCGAGCAGGCCCAGGCGGGCCCCACGTCGCGCCACCTCCAGCAGGCACAGCACCACGCTCTTTTCATTTTTGCGCAGCACCAGGTCCTCGGTCTCAAACATGAGCACCTCCGGCACTCCCAGCTCCGTGCGGCACCAGCCGATGAAGGTGGCCACATTGTCGCGGGCCATGAAGGAGCCGGGCACCACACTGTGCGCCTGGAAGGTCACACCTCGGGCCGGACGCGTGGCTGCCAATGCGCGGGCAGCCTCGGTCACAGCGTTGGCATGTTGGCACAGGGTTGTGCCCGTGGCCAGCCCCGTCAGGAAGCCATCGCCACCGCCCGGGAGACCCAGGCCGTACAAGGCATTGAGCCACTCGGCCAGGTCCTCCTTCATGGCCTCCACGTAGGCCTCACTGGAGCGGAATGGCCGCACGCTCTTGGCTGCCGAGCCCGCAATGCCCGCCACTGGGTCCGCCATGCCCGGACCGGCCAAGTCACTGTAGGCAGGAACACAAGTCAGGATCGCTGCAAGGACCCAGGAAGCACTCAGTATAAACTAAGCTGCTGGCCACCTGCACCAGTCTGTCACTTGGGCCAAATGCCTGGTTTCCATGTTGGCTCTGGGAAACATCAGTGCCTCAAGTTTCCTCATCTGCGAAATGGGTACAGTATCATTCCCTGCCTCATAGGACTCTATGGGATAATTTTTATAAACCTAGCAAACACTGTTCACAAGTGTTTGCTGTGTGGCTTTCTGGGGTGGAAACTGGGGCTTGGCTGAGCCTCTCTCTCAGGCAGGGAGGTGCCCATTGTGAACAGCTGGGACCTAGAGAGGTGAAGACAAAGGCTAGGGCCCCCAGTGGACACAAAACGAACCCAGGTCCTGACCTCAGAGTGGGTTATCTGCATGGCTCAGGGCTGGTGCCCACCCCACACGCTACGGGAAGGTCCACGCGCCTCCCTTGGCCCCCCTTCCCTAAGGGCTGTGCCATCATGAACAACGACATAGCAGCA